TTGTTCGGTCTGTGTTTATAGCCACAAAAGACAACTTTGGGGTCTTTGCAAAATGTATGTTTGCCAGAGGTCACACAGGACCAAGTGCTCAAAAAATGCTAAAATGCCATCAGAACTGGCATTGGAAACCAAGCCAAAAATAATATTCTACGCAGGCTATATCCAGACCTGGCAGTTTTATTACATTTGCCTGCAGAAAAAAAAAAAAAAATATCTCAGAACTGTAGAAGGGTGAGCAATGTAATCAGCCAGAGAAAGTTTTTCATGAGAGCAGGGCTGCTTTGTTCCTTGAGGGCTTTAGTGTGGAAAGATGAAGCCAGAAAGGTGATATGATCAGAGGCCATAAAACCTTGGAGGTTATGGAGAGCATGAACGGAGACTGGCTCATCAAATCTGAGATGACCAGACCCCAGGGTAGCTCTTGAAGTTTAAAAGAGAAACTTGAGAGATAAATTTTAAAAGATTGATTCCTGCTCAGAGTTGTACAGTGAAGCAACTCAGTTTCTCATAACATGGTGAAGGCAAATAGTTTTCAAAATGCTCAAGCAGTTTACCAAATGCATAGCCAAGAACTGGCTCTTAATGATGGATTGAGAGACATTAGCAGCACATCCATGTATTTCTGAGGTTGGCAAAAATATCAATATTGGACCATTAGCTTCCCCCATATAACCCAGAATTCTGTTAGCATTAGTAAGAGAAATCTAAATCAAAACTGGTTTCAGCCAAACAAAGAATTTCAAGCCCCATAGCTGGAAAGGTACTGGGGGTAGCTCCAAACAGCCAAGGAAGACCTACATGGAGTGTCACATTCTGAAGAGTGGCTTAGGAAATACTGATGCAGGGCTGGAGATGCAGTTCAGTGGTAGAGTTCTGGCTTAGAACGGGTAAGGCCTTGGGTTCCATCTGCAACACCACCTACTCACACAAAAATACTGATGCACAGGCTGTACCCCTGGAGACTCATATTTAGCTGCTTTGAAGTGGAGCCAAAACATATGTGTTTTTAAATCCCCTACAGTGTCTCCCCAAAGAAGCAACCTTCCCTATCTAGAGGCCTTAGGTAAGGCCCCCAGTGCTTCTCCGTCTACCACGCTGTTGCTCTCTCCTTCTCCAGCTTCACCTCTTTCTCCTACACTCAGACCCCAGCCTTTGCAGATCCTCAAATGAGCCACATATTCATTCAAGTTGAATTTGTTCCTTCTACCCTGAATCCTTTTCCTGTTCCCCCTCCCTGCACCCTAGGCTGGGCTGGAGGCCTGGGCACCTGTGTTCTGTGTCTCCTCTGTCAGTCTGCCTTGACTTTAAGCCCACTGCAGACACTATCGTTGAACAGAATGGCCCATTTAGCACACCTAGCGTGAGGGTTGAAAACTCGGCTTTGCATTTATTAGTAATTCGGTGAGTACTTCAGCTCATTCAGCCTTAGTTTCCTAATCTGTACAGTGAGGATGATTGATCATCAAACATCCCTTAGCCAAAAATGTCTAGAAATGGAAACCAGCACCTGACACAATGTGAGAGTGTATCCAAATGTTAGTCATTATTACTAAAAAAACAAATCCTTTGAGACATCTAGAAATAGGCCACCATCTTTTTGGTAAAGATCATTCAACTTCTCAACTCACCTTTTCTGGTCATCCTTGGTCTCTTATCTGTTTCTACCAACTGTTCAAACATAGGAGCTGTATTAGAATCAGCTTTCCGTTACTATAACAAAAGACCTGAGATAATTAACTTGTAAAGACAAAAGACTTATTGTGGCTCACAATTTTGAAGTTTCCAGTCCAAAACTGGGTCGACCCATTCTTGAAGGGTCTTTGGCCCTCTACTGGACATGCTGGATGGCACTTGCAAAGCCAACTATTCACCTGAGATCCAGGAAGCAAAAGAAGAAGAAGAAGGGGCTAGGGTCCTACAATCCACTTCAAGGGCATGCCCCCAATAACCCTCAGGACTTCCAGTAAGACACTATCTCCTAAAGTTTCCACTCCCTCCCAATTGTGCCAGCCTGGGAACCAGGCTTTTAATACATAAACCTGTAGCAGACACTTAACCTCACACTACAGTGGGGTATTTCTTCATCCCTCAGGGACTAGCATGCAGTAGGTCCTGAATGTAACTGATGGCTCAGGTTTTGGAAACACTGAAACCTAGAAGCAGGCAAAGCGAGAGTCCCTGTCCACCACCACCCCAGGGAGGGCTTCAGCCTCCTGTCAAACCCCCGTCCTTCTTTTAGAAGCCTGCTTCCCAAGCTGCTCCCCCACCAGGTGGGGAGTAAGAGGAGTGGGGGAGGGCTCAGCAGTGGAGCCTCCACAGCCAAGGCTGGGGAAGGGGAACTGGAACCATGCATGAAAAGATCTCAGCCCGAGGCCTAGACCACAGCGTAGACAGTCTCTCTGCCCCTAAGTGGGCAAACTTGATGGGACTATTTGTTCGCAAGTAGCTCTACAGTGCGTTAAGTGAGTTTTAAAGGTACATGGAGTGCAGAGTTCCAAAATCCAACCCTTCAAGAATTTCTTATTTCTGTATGGAGTTAGAGGAGTCATCAATAATTTGATAAATTAGTTGAAGTCGACATACTCCTGTACTGCCCCATTTGAGGCTGGATTTCTCTTGACAGTTTAAACAGTGAAATGGACAAATGCCCATCTTGGGCATGTCCAAATTCATCCTTTTTTCCTCATGAGGAAAAAAGCCCTTTCTCAATTCATTTGCTTATGCCATAAGATTTCCATCTCCTCCTCAAATGGCAGCCAGTTCCCTAGCAGGGATGCTGAGGAAGTCCCAGGGCCCACTGTCCCATCCCAAGTTAAATTCAGTTGAAGTCTTGAGGTGAGGGTTTAGCCTGACCTTTTCGGATGAAGAAACTGAGGTAGAGATTAAAAGTTCTGCTGCCAAAGTCCACTCTTGGGCAAGGGCAGCACAACAAGGATCTGCTTCAGGATTTTCAGAAGGCTGAATCGCCTCTAAAGGACCCTAAGCCATGGTCTCTGACCTGAAGATGCCACCCGAAGATGTCAGGGCAGTGATGGTGGTTCATTACTGTCTGGGCTCCTGGGAATGCTAATGGATCTCTTCTCTCATTCAAAGGCTAAGGCTGTAGAACTAGCTCAGGAAAGGCAGATTCCAGCAAATGGTGTTAATTGCTGGACCTCAGGGTTGGAAAGGTCACCCAGTGCCTCTGGCTGTCTGGCTGTATGCCTGCCTCAGTGTGCCGGGGTTGCTACTGGAATGTACTGGGTGCTGTGATTACACCCAGCACAATAAGCTGCTGGGTCTAGCCTCAAGGGCTGGCCATGATTGAAAGGAATACCATTTGAGACCTGGATTTTGAGATGATGAGCTCTCCCTGGACAAATTTTTAACATTTTACAAACAACATTTTGTAAAGGGTCCCTAAAAATGAATCCTGGTTTGGAGAAATGATAATTAGGTCCTGTTGGTCTAAGACTAAAATAGGGAAACTACAGGGGCATCCCAACTATCAAGGACAACAGTTGCCTCCATGAAGTTTTAGAACTGTGGGTACTGCATCTTCCTGCTGCCCCACTGCAGAGTGGGCTGAACAATTAGTCTTCTTTCTTCCCTGTTTAGGGAAGCCAGATTCAGAAGTTGCAATGCTGCTGAGGGTTGTGTCTTTGAGGACACAGGTCCTCCTTCCCTTTCCTCACAGCCTGCTCCTCCCCAGGATTCCCTCCTGGCAGCAGAGTACTAAATTGCAGACATAGCCCTGCAGCTTGTGTGGCCCACAGCAAGTGAGGGCTGTGATAGTGCTTAAGAGAAACATCTAAATTGGATAAAAACCCAGATTTTTTTCCCCCCAAAGAACCAGATGGGCAGGGTTGGGAGTAAGGTAAGGGGGGTAGAGGGAGGAACTGGTTTGACTAAAAACACTTGTTCTGGCCTATTTGTGTTTCATCCAAAAGATGTTTCTCAGGGGAAGTTGCCAGTCCCTTGAATATCACAACAGAAGAGTTGCAGGAGGAGACATTTTGCTCCCAGAAAAATAAGCAACCGAGTTAAAGGGAGGTCACCACCCCGAAGCCCTCCCAAGATCCGCCTTGGGAGCCTTTCTGTCACTGCCAGTCGTTTCTGCCCTGTGCTCTCCAGGGATGAGCGCATCCACATCTCCCCTGGGGTGGCAGCTGTGCCCTGGAAGGCACCGCAGGCCCGCAGGCCCCTGTTCGGGGGTGCAGGCAGGGCAAGTTCTCAGAAAGCAAGGAGTTGCTTACAGGAGATGCTTGAGGCGACACGAGCCCAGTCCAGATGGGTGGCCCGGGGCCCCAGCGGGCTGTATAGACTCGAGGTGCGTCAGTGGCCGAGATCCTGCAGACGGACCATCCCCACCTAGACCCGAACGACTGGGAAGCAGATTTTCCAGCCTGCTGCTCTGGGGACACATCAGAGAGAGCAATAAACCAAGGGGTGTCAGTGGCGTCTTCGGGATGGCAGTCTCCTTGGAAAGAAGGGCTGGGGCTTGTCTCCAAACTGTTTCTACTTGGACTAGATATTTATGTGAAGGTTTAAGGGGGCGCGCTGCCCTCCTTGTGTCCTACGGGGTCTGGTCGCCCCAGGAGGGGTGCTGGGTGTTTCCTGCGTGGGCAGCAGTGGGTATGGAAACCACGCAAAAGTCCCAGAGCTCCGCACGCCCTGAGTTCACCGACGCGGGTTTCCGAGGTTCCAGCCGCAAGCGCAGCCATCGGGCCGCCCCCGCCGCCTCCCCAGGCCTCTGGGCTCGCGCGGGCGGTACTGAAATTGGAGCGCGGGAGGGCGGAGCGGGCGGCGGCGGGGCGCGGGGCCGCCGCTGCATTGGAGGGGAACCGAGTGATGGATGGCGAGGGAGGGGCGCAGGGGAGCGGCGAAGGGGGGCTCCGGGCCCCGCGGCCGAAGTGGACCGAGCCTCCCGGCTCGCTGCTCCCGCTGGCGGAGCGAGGCTGCCTTTTTTCCGCAGCGTGATTTATTTTCTTCTTTTCTTCTAAACTCTTCTTCCAGGGAGAGGCTAGTGGTAACAGGCCGAGCTGGATGGATGGGTATGGGGAGAGGGGCAGGACGCTCAGCCCTGGGATTCTGGCCGACCCTCGCCTTCCTTCTCTGCAGCTTCCCCGCAGGTAAGGCACTGCCCCCTGGCCGGAGAACCCGCTTCCCGGGCCTCCCCTCAACACAGGGCCACTTGTCCTACAGGGTTTGAGCAAGTCGGGGTTCAAGTTCGCCAGCCCTCCTTGGGCCCCCGCCTCCCATTTCCACGGGTCTTTGTTTCTCCCGTGCCCCACGGAGGGCACGATGGATGCCAGTGGACATCCAGGGGGGACCCCGCCCGAGCTGCGAAGGCAAGAATCGGGCGACGAGATCTCGGGGTGCCTGCCCTCTCTCCTTCCGAGAAAGAGGGTGCCCGGGATGCGCCTCTTAGAGGCTCCAGAAGAGACGGAGAAGAGGGGGCACCAACTGGGTGTTATGGGCACTTTCTCCAGCTCCTCGCCTGCCAGTTTGCAAACCTGCCTGGTGCTCAGAGATGCAGCCCAGGGCGCCCCGAAGGTTGCACCCCAGTCCCCGACCGGCCCCTCCCCTGGGACCCCCGTCCAGCCCGCAAGTGCTTGCCCACGCGGGGAAGCCCACCGACCCGGTTCAGATGAGCTCGTATTCCTGTTTGATAACATTCCGCGTCGCCCCCTGTTTGTTTTTATTGTGTCAGAAAGGGAGAGAATTTTAGAATTAAAGCTGAAAAAGCCCATCTGTTTCCAATGAATCCCCCATAGTTTTTCACAATGTTTTTGGCAGATCGTTGCTTTCAAATTCCTCGGAGCCCGGACCTCTTGTTTTTGTTGGGGGAAGGGAGACCAACTCCACAGAGAAGCATTTGTTCCTTCCCAAACGCTCCGGTTTCTTTACTTTTTTTTTTCCTTTTGTGGGGGGAGGGGGAAGGCACGAAACTTAAATCCCCGGTCTGTTTTCTTTGTAATGTTTCGTAAAACTTTATTTCATTTTTGCCATATGTTGCTCACAGCCTGGAAACGCCAGTTAAACCCTTCATACCCATTTTTCTCCTGCTAAAAATACAAATAAACACAATGTCACGGGCCAAATGGCCCTTCTTGCAAGGCGGGATCTCCCGGCCATTTCCATTGTGTTGCGGGGGTTCAGAGGTGTCTTTTTGCAAAAAAAATTCCAGCCTGTTTCTCACCTCAGTCAGATGCAGATCTGCAGCCCCTGCGCACAGCTGAGATCTGCATGATCAGACTTGAGTTAGAGTATTGGGTTGTTTTGATTTGCTCCTCAGCCAGCAGGGTTTCAAGGAATAGACAGAACTGGGCAGTCTTGGCTTGGCCTGGCTGCGAGTTGGGGCTCCCGGTGGGCGGACCACGTAGGCAGCGAGTAGTACTTGGTGGGGGGGCGATCAGTTTACCCTTGTGTCCCGGTCCTACTACAAGGACCCCCAGCGCCTGCCCAGCCAAGTTGGCCCAAGTACTCAGCAGCTGTGAGTCCAGGAGCCTCCCAGGGAGCCGGGACCTGCTCCAGAGCTTCGACCTGCTCCAAGGGACGTTCCTGGCCACGGACAAGATGAGGGAGGTGCCGGTGTACCCTAGACAGCTCTCAGCCCCATTGCACCCGCTGAATATCAAAACCTCCATTGAGGGTCATCCCCAGATCCCCATTCCTTTAAAATGCAGTTTCTCCATCTACTTAAAAGAGTCCAATTGAAATGTTGATTCCCTTCCCAAGAATTAAAGAAATAAAGTGAAAATCACCCTCTTTTTAAAAAGAATACACACACCCCCCTTTCTGAGGAGTTTGCAGTTTGTGTTCATCTTGGTTTGGTCTAGATAAAGATTCAGTCCACTGGAAGTTTTATCAGATGGGTTGATAAATGGCTTTTGTCCCTTGGCTGCCATGGGGGATGTGATCTCAGCTCAGTGCTGAAATTGAGAAGGGGGGCTCAAGGGCCCTTAAAACAACACCTTCCTGCTCTTAAAGCTGCAGCACTTTTTTAACTTCTTAGGAGAGAAGAGGAGTTAAGGAGGAAGTGGCAGAAGATCTCGAGGTAGGAAGAGCAGCAAGGGCTGAGTAGTAGTGTTTATGTTGTTTCTCAATCCATTTCTTTGTCTTAAAAACTTTTATTTGAAAGTATTCCGGCATAGTCTGAGGAATGATGGTGGGTTATATAATTCACAGCCTAAATTCCATCACTTTTGTTTCCAAGAAACCCATTTCTTTTTGGCTTCAAAACTGGTAACCAAAACCCATCAGATGGAACAGATAGCTGCTCTACTACCATGCCAACTGGCTAACCTTTCTCCTTGACAGTTGCATGTGGTCAAGATTGCCCACCTTAAGGAAAACTGAGCTTCCCATACCCCATAACTAAATCAGCCAAAGGCTCCAGAACTTGTGTGTTCAAGAAACCTGGGTCTAAAGACAGTTTCCTAAGTAAGGGATGAAATGGGTACTTTCCACAACAAAGAGACGAACTGTCACATCCTTTGGTTGGTCCAGGAAAGGGCTTTGGCATAATGTCAGAAAACCTGGACTTCTAGTGGAGAGTGGGGAGTTAAAAATAAATAAATAAAAAGCCCTGGCAAGTGCAAGAGGAGGCCCAGAGACACATTCTGGGACCCTGTGTGCCACGGCTTCTCCCACTGAAGACAGGTGGAAACTGGCTGAGCAGCCTTGTGAAAGCATAGGTTTGTTCAAAGCTGGCCAGCTTGAATGGCTGCCAGGAGTAAGCCCACAGGAGTGCAAATTAAATTGGACATAGTTCTGTGCAGAAAGATGCCTATGCTCTGCTAGACTGAGAGTGTTTGTTTTGAGTGTTTACATTTACTTACTCATGTGTATGGCCAGCCTCCTGTAGCCCTGCCTCAGTGATAGCCTCTGACCAAGGCCTTCAGGCAGACATAGCCTAGTGAAGATAAAGGGGCTCTGCCATGTCACACGAAATGGAAGACCATCAGCTTGGATGATGCTGTGGGACAGAGCAGAGTGGCCACATCTACCCAAGAGGGGGAGGCCAGAAAAAAACTCAGAAGAGCCTTCCACAAATAGCCTCTTCCAGACACAGTTAATAGATAGTTTTTAAGCTTTGAGGCCATCATGACTTATCAAGCAAGAGAAATCCATTCTTCTAAGAGAAATCCACCCAAGGCATGTTTTGGACAAGTTTCTTATTAACTACACGTGGATGCTGTACTCTAGCTGTTTTTTTCAAAGTATGGTCCCTGGACCAAAAGCATCCATCTCGCCTGGGAACCTGTTAGAAATGCAAGTTCAGGGCCCACCCAAACCTACTGAAGCAGATACTCTGGGGTAGGGGGCAACAATCTGCACTCCCAGGAAATATGGTACATGTTCACGTTTAAAGACCACTGGTTCTAAGAATTATTGCACTGTAGCTTTTCTTTATTCCTTATTTCTTTCCCTTACACTTTTATACAGCAGCTATTTTTAAAATGTTTAAATGTTAAATGTTATTCAGTGGGTAAACTGATTCTTGGGAGACCAAAGCCCTCTGTAATGTCCAAGCACATCTGTGTTGCTCTAGAGATAAGAATATTTCTGTTAAAACTGCAGTTTAAAATGTGCAAGCAAGGTAGCCTCCTGTGGCCCTGACTAATTACCACATTATTACTCTCTCACAGTTGGACTTTGTGTAGCAAAAGGAGAGTGTCTTAGTCCAACTGAGCTGCTGTAACAAAATATCATTGACTAAGAGTCTTGTGACAACAGAAATTTATTGCTCACAGTTCAACAGACTGGAATGTTCAAAATTAAGGTGCCAGGTGTTGTCTGGTAAGAGCCCACCTCCTGACTCATAGATGTCTCCCTTCCCTCTGTTATCCCAGGGTGGAAGGGGTAGAAGACTCTCTAGGGTCCCTTTTATAAGACTACCAGTCCCATTTATGAGGGCTTTATTCCCATGACTTAATTACCTCTGAAACCCCCTTAACTCCTAATACCAGTACATTTGGAGTTAGGTTTTAACATATGAATGGGGGATACAATCACTTAGTCCATAGAAGAGAGAACAAGGGACATTCAGTTACAAAAGCCAGATGGCAGCAGAGCCAGCTCATAGCCATTATGTCAAGGGGTGGCCAGGGCAGTGCCTTGGCTCCTAAGGAGAGGTAAATTTAAACTCCTATAGATGATTGGCCCTGTGGGCCCTGAGGGTGAGTTGGTGATAGAGGAAAGGGTCTCTGGTCTTCTGGTTTGGAAAAGGGAGACTTTTCTGTAAGGTTAGAGAAATTTCTGGTAGTTGCACCAGCACTCAAAGGAGGGGATTGCAGGAGAGTTGGGAACACAAGATGGGGGGATCCAGGGGCACAGATAAGGTCTTTCTGTGAGATGGGGAAATATGGAAGAATAAGTGGGTAGACGTGGGGACCAGTTTACATGTTGCCAGGGGGACTGTGATTCCTGCTAAGATCCTGTTCCTTGGTGAAATGTGTAAGGCCTCGTACTAGACAGAGTACCCCAGATTAGGGTTGAGTACCAATTAGGGGCCATGCTGTTTTGCTGCTGGGCTGAAATACAGCCTGCATGACTTCAAAGACCTGTTTCTTCCTGGATGACCAACTCATCCCAGTTTGCCAAGACTTTCCTAGTTTTAACTGGAAGCTAAGAATCCTGAGAATACATCCCCAGTCCCAGGCGAACCAGAAAGTCAACCTACTTTCCACCCCTCTTCGCCTGCGTGTCAGTACACCACTGTGAAGTCCCCGGTATCCAGGGCCACCATGCAGTCCAGTCACCTGGGGCTGGGGCTCTTCCTGCCTTTGCCCCTTGTCGCCTTGCTGTAACTGCTGCCACCATCTCTCTCCACCTCATTTGGCCAGGTGAATTAGTTTGGAGAGGAATGCCCACTACCCTGCCCACAGGATCAGTGCCTTGGGCTCCTGTCACCTTGGTTGTTGATGGCTCAGCTGCACCTTGGCTTCATTGACTCATGGGTCTTGGGATTTTGTGTTCTTCTCAATCATCAGTTCTGTTTATAAGGGCAAGAACCTCATTTTCTGCTTCTCTCTATCCTTCCCCTCCCCTCCCAGGCATACCCAGCACAGTCTTGGGAACTATAGGGCCCTTGGATTTTTCATGCTCAGGCTGATTTTATGTGTTT